TATATATATATATATATATATATATATATTATTTATTTACATACACAGATTGCATGTATACTTACACACACATACACATAGTGTAAGAGTAGTTAACATACATCAATAATATGTGGAATGAAAATTAAGATGCTAATTTTAAAAGAAATTGCGTGGATGCATGCAGAAACAAAAAGATTCATGGAAGGAGGAGGGAGAAAGGATTATCACAAGATATTGGGAGGCAAAAGTGAAGGAACAACATTTAGCGAATAGTAGTACCTCTTCTTTGTCATATGAAAATATCATTTTCTAAAATATGATTTCACTGAAGAAAAAAAAATTAACAAAGGACCAAAAGTGTCCAAAGTATGATAGTTAGAGTGTTAAATGTAAAAATGATTGTCTAAGACTATATTTGAAAATACTACCAAAGACAAGAAACCTCCCCGGCAAGGCGGCAACTAACTCATTAGGAAAAATAAAATAAAATTGAAGAGATGAAAATACACTTGCCTAAAATAGGATTTTATCAGGAAAGTCATTGTAGGGACAAAAAGTGTTCAAAATTTATAGTCTGATGTGTTAAAGGACAACAATGATAGTTTGAGACTAAATTTAAAATTGTCACAAAACACAAGGAACCTCCTCTGAAATTAACTTTTGTTTTATTCAAAATCAATTATTTTTTTAACCAAAAACGAAAATTAAAAAAATCTTGGCATTTTTATTTTCGACTTAATAAAGAAATTTCAGAACTATTTTTATTGTTTTTCAAATACGGCAGCGTGCAAAACTTCTGTTTATATAATTACTATATTTATATATCATCATTACTACAGATTTCTGCTTCACATATATATTGCCAAATTCATTTACTTACATGCTCATTATAATCAATATAATGTATCCTTTCACCCATTATAACCTACTCTATAACTATACCCATCCTTATGTGTCTACTCTTGCGTCTATCCAGGGACGAGCCAAAAATTTAGTTGAGGAGGGCGAAAAACTAGGAACAAATTCATAAATTTTTTTCAGTAAAGACGAAACATTAAAACAAAAGAGATAATTTAAAAAATAAATAAATAAATTACCTAAAATATAATTAAGGGAAAATGGCACTTTTTTCCCCTGAGTTATATACTTATAGTACTTTTTCTCCCTGAATTATTTAAGTGGCTCTTTTTCCCCCTGAAATGTTAAATGGACATATTTACCCTTAAAATAAATATTAATAAATAATTCATTTATTTTTCTTCTCCAACAAATTATTACTATAATTTGGTTCAAACCAAACAGATACTATAGCAACCAAACCAAAATATTCAATTACAATTTATAATCAAAACGCGATATTTAGAGTTTATTAAAATCGCGAACCGGAATGACCGGTTCATGTTCCGAACTTGAAAAATAAAATACATTTATTGTTGAATTTAGACTATTTTAAAATAAAAAAATAAAATTTTAAAATAAAGACGGTTTAAAATCGCGAATCGGATCCGGAACCGCCAGTTCATTGTTCATGATCCAGTTTTTTTTTTTTTTTTTTTTTTTAATTCTTAAATTTAATAAATTGAAATCCAAATATTGAGTTCTAGATCTGAATCATAACCGAAAATTTTTAATTCGATTGCTATAGTGTCTGATTCAGTTCGAACCGAATCGTGGTAATCGCTACATATACGCAATAATTTGTTGGACAAGTAAAATAAATAAAATGTTTACTTTAAGGGTAGAAATGTCAATTTAATATATTAAGGGGAAAAACCACCACTTTTAAAATAATTGAGGGGGCTAATGTGCTTACATAAATAATTAAGGGGGAAAAGGTGCTATAAATATATAACTTAGGGGGGAAAAGTGCCATTTTCCCTATAATTAACTTAAATTAAAAAACTATAAAAATATATTAAAGCCAAATGATTTGAACCCTTACCCTTTACAATTGCCAAACATATGTTCTACCAACTAATCTAACTCATTCTTATTGACATTTATTAGTTTTATTATACTAATACTAAAACTTGTACTATATATACATATATACATGCAAAGATTATATATTGGGCGGGGGTGGGGTGAGGGGGCAGCCGCCCCCCTGGCCCCCCTCTAGCTCCGTCCCTGCGTCTATCTATATATCTATTCTCACAATCTACATACTTACCCCTACCACCACTACCACCCCCACTCATTTATATTTTTATCATATGAAGTAAATAATTAAAAAATTTAAGCAATTTTATATTTTATAAATTGAGGAATAATTGGACATTCATCTCAAATAAAAAGTGTGGAGATATTCACACCCTCCATTTATCAAGATCTTACCGGGCGTTTGGTTGGAAGGGGGTAATTACGTGGGAAATTAAAAGAATTTCAATTCCATGGGGGATTTATTACTGGGAACAAAGTGGAATTTAAATTCCAGTGTTTGGTTTACAGGAATAGAATTACTGGGAATTTCAATTCCAATGTTTGGTATACATGAGAATTGAAAGGGAATAAGTACTATAAAGTCCAAAATTCTCATTGTTGTTGTGGTATTAATTTTAGGTTTAAAAAAAGAGAGGGGTAATTTTGTTTCATCACTAGCTTTTTTTTCTTCCTAAAATTCTAGGAATTAAAACCTCAGGGGGGACATGAGATTTTAATTCCATGAAAATGGGGGAATTACAATTCCATTGAATTACAATTCCATAGAATTGCAATTCCTTCCAACCAAACGCCCTGTTATGGTCATCTGGAGGGGGGGGGGGTAATTTAAGGTTTTTTTTTTTGTTTTGTTTTGTTTTTTTTTTTGTTTTTTTTTTTTTTTTGCAACCGTCATTAAATTAATTGTTAACCTATTGAATTACAGTTTTGTCCAAGTTAGTTGTGTTAAAACCACAACCACTAATTTGTGAAGATAAAGTGTAATGATATGTTCACAATTTTTAATGAGAGAGGGGGATTGTTCTTACATGAACCTTCTCACACACATATATATATATAGGCTTTGAATCACATGAGAACATACTTCAATGACATGTTTGGTTCATGGAATAGGTTAGGAATGTAATAATAACATTCTTTGGAATAAACCTATTCCACTGTTTGGTTGGACCATTTTGTCATTAGAATAACATTACTAGGAATGAGCTATTACTTTTGCAAGGGTAATAGCCATTCCTAGGTGGACCTTGGTATTAGCTATTCTCATGCCCTTAGGAATAGCTTTTATATCACAAATACCAAAAATTAACAAAAATACCCCGTGCATATTATTTAATAAATATAATATATTATATAAATGTATATATTTAATTAATTATAATTTTTATCTATCAACCTATCAATAAAATATATATTTAAATTATATATATATATATATATATATATATATATATATATATATATATATATATATATATATATATATAAATTAACTGTATAAGGCTCTTTAATTATGAAACCTTGACTCCTAAATTAAGTAGCATGTCCATCTGCATGTCTAGCGAATAAGCATTGCAATTGAAATTATGGAGTCTTGAAGCTCCTTTTATAGGAGCCTGAAGGCTCCATTCCTCACTTCTCCAACCGATGTGGGATAAGTGGAGAAATAAATATAAATATGTATTTTTATAATAATAATAATAATAATAATAATAATAATAATTATTATTATTATTATTATTATTATTATTATTATTATTATTATTTTTATTATTATTATTATTGTTAGTCTCTCACTCACACACACATGCATACATGTATACAAATATAAATATAAATAAAAATAAAAATAAAAATAAATAAATAAATAAATAAATAAATAAATAAATATATATATATATATATATATATATATATATATATATATATATATATATATAATTCTGTATATCATAATCATATTTATTATTATTATTATTATTATTATTATTATTATTATTATTATTATTATTATTATAAGGGTATTTATGTCTTTAATTAAAACCTATTCTATTTCTATTCCTTTAACCAACTAAACACTGGAATACAATTACTTAAGTCTATTCCTTCATTGAACCAAACAATAGAATACAATTTATATTATATTCCTTACCTATTTCATTCCATGTGGAATAGCATTCTTATTCCCTCCAAATTCATTCCGTGAACCAAACGTGTCGCAAGAGAAAACTAAGAACAAATCACATCCTTACATCTATCAAAATTCTATGGTTCTGATTATATTAAAAAAAAATATTGTGACATTTTTGTAATTATCATAAACTTTATTATGCAAACTTAAACACTTAAATATGCAATCTTTAATAACTAAATATGCAAACCTAGTAAATTTTATAAAATCAATGAAAAAGCTAAATTTTAAATCTAAATCGTAAATGCTAGATGCTAAGCAGTAAAAGGTGAACCACTAAACGAAATAAAACTAAAAACGCAGTAATAAACTTTAAAATCGAAACCCAACGTGTAATGTACTTTCACATTTTTGCAAGTGCAATCTTTTATTACTAAATGTGCAAAATGTTAGTACTAAATGTGTAAAGTTGGAAAGTTCTGAAAATGGGTGATTTTAGTGTTCAAGTTTGCATATTAATGTTGATGATAATTACGAAAATGCCACCATTTTTTTTAAATCAGATCCGGTCCATCTAATTTTTCTAGATGTAAGATTGGGATTCATTTTTTATTTTCTCCTAATAAGAACTTATTCTCATATGATCCCATACCCCTCTCTTTATATATATATATATATATATATATATATATATATATATATATATATATATATATATATATATAGAATTAAATTTCAGTGCGGGTAAGTGTCTCCCATGCGGTTGTGCGGGTGATTAATGTGCGTGAGTTTTGTACTTAATGTGCGTGAGTCTTGTACTTAAGGTGCGTGAGATTTGTATTTAATGTGCGTGAGTGTGTAATGCTTAATGTGCGTGAGTTTTGTACTTAAGGTGCGTGTGTTTTGTGCCTAATGTGCGTGAGTTTTAATTTGTGTTTAATGTGCGTGAGTGTGTACTTAATGTGAGTTGTTGTTGAAACTTTAAAGTGCTTGAGTTTTATGCTTAATATGCGTGAGTTTTGTGCTTAATGTGCGTAAGTCTTGTGCTTAAGGTGCGTGAGTTTTGTACTTAATGTGTGTGAGTGTGTACTTAATGTAATTTGTTATTAAAACTTAAGATACGTGTGTTTTTGTGCTTAAGGTGCGTGAGTTTTGTGCTTAAGGTGTGTGAGGGTTGTGCTTAAGATGCGTAACTTTTGTGCTTAAGGTGCGTGAGTTTGTGTTCTAAATGTATTTTGTTTGTTTGTGTAAATGTGTAATATGCGTGTGTTGTGTACTTAAAGTGCACCAGTGTAAAACTTAATGTGAGTCCACCTACATAACCACACGGGAAGCACCACCCACACCTGATCCCTTCCCTATATCCCATTACAAAAAAATACACGTCACCGTTCCATTACTTACAACATTGCACTCATCACTCTCTATCCCAACGTGTATAACCTACTAACCCAAACTCAAGATTGACAATATTTATATTTTTTTGAAAAAGTCAATCTGTCGATTGTATTAATTGATGAAAGCTATAATAGCGTCAGGAGGGATAGAATCCCAATACATAGAATGTTCCTGAGTAAAAGCTAACGAAGCTAAAGTATGAGCATGTAAATTAATCTGTTTAGGCACATAACTTAACGAAATAAAATTAAATAAAGACATCATTGTCTTGCACTGGTCAATTATCAACCCAGCATACGAGTAAATGGATGTAATTTGGTGATGTATGGTGGATCGCAGAACCATACAATCCGTGAGCAGATTGGCCGAATTAATACTACTTTCAACTAACCAGGACAGTGCCTCTTTAAAAGCCATAGCCTCCGTCATGAGTGGTGAAAAACAAACGGATGATCTGCCATTCTTGGCTGCCACAAACGAGCCACCGGGCTCTAATAACACAATTCCATACGTAGCCTCCCCGGTTTCCTGCCGATACCCCGCATCTATATAGCATCGCATGTGATTGTTGGACAACACTGGTTCGGCATGTGGTTGTACATTTTCTCGCGTGGAACGGGCTTGTACCGCACCATAGGCTTTCAGCAATGTTGTCGCCCCCTTCACAACCGCCCTCGGCCGTGACATGGCCCCTTCCCACACGGCTGCATTGCGGCTTCTCCAAATATTGTATAGAACTCCCACCAAAAGCTGTGTTTGTTCCTCGGTTAGAATCGTCATAGCCCCAACTAACCATGCCGCAAACGAATCTGTAATAATATTCGTGATAGGTAATTGTGTTATATTCCAAACTAATGCAGAATATTCACAATAAACTAATGCATGCAACACATCTTCATTATTAAATCTGCACATAGGACATGTCAGGTCAATCTCCACCCTCTTATTAATTAGATTCGTGGTAGTGGGTAAAATATCACATACTGCTCTCCATAAAAATGTCTTCCATTTTGGTGGTACTTTCAATTTCCACATCTTAACCCATTTATCAAAATCACCTGGGTTATTCTCATAATCACCACCAATACGCCTGTAGCCATTCTTTACTGAATAAATTCCTTTTGGGTCACCTATCCAGTACCATGAGTCATCATAATCAGGGCTAACAGGAATCATAACTATTCTGCTCACATCCTCAGGGATAAATAAATTAGATAAAATATGTGGATCCCATGTTTGTGTTTGTGGGTCAATCAAACTTGCTACTCGTGCTTTCCTTAACTCCTCAGGCATAATTGTTTGTACCAAGGGACTTGGATTATCCTGCAGCCATGGGTGTCCCCAAATTAGAGTTGTCTCACCATTTCCAATCCTGCGTCTTATCCCAGCTACCACTATTGGATGTGCTGCCATTATACTTCTCCAACAAAAACTTGGGCAATTACCAATAGTAGCATCAACAAAACTAGAAGTGAGGTAATACCTGGCTTTATATATTCTTGCCACCAGAGACACTGAATTTGTCAAAAAACGCCATGCCTGCTTGCCCAGCATACCAATATTTATATTATCTAAATTAAATTTTAGAATTTGAACTGAATTTTGGAGATTCGGTAATCCAAAATTGGTTATTCGAATACAAATTTAGTTCTAATATTGAATATTAAAATTTCAATTATGTTTGTCTCGAAATTTGAAGTTGTAATTTATAAATAAACATAAATTTAATATACAATAAAAATTATTAAATGTATTTTTCACACAAACCAAGGGAAAGATCGAATTCACATATCATGTGTCAAAAATGTCATTTGAAATTGTGAATATTTGAAATAAAATTCAAATATTTCCTTACATATTGTTCATACATGCTTGTACAATGATCATTGGTCTATATATATAATTGTCACTTATTGTTCACACATTTGTGTATTAATATATAAATTAAATACGGAGTAATTGAATTTCAAATAGCTTCATATCTTACAAATTGAAAATTTGTTATTATTTAAACTAGTATTTGCACCCGTGCGATGCACGAAATAGATTTGTTGTAATATATTAAAAAAATATGAATCGATATATAATTATTTAAATTAGAACATCAAATATTATATAGTGCAATTAAATATATGATTTGAATCGTGTATATATTTTGATGTTATCATTGCTTGAATTTGTGCAAATAATTGCTCAAATTAATAGCTAATGTCTAGATGTACGCATGCGGTCCTATAATTTTGAAGATTTTATTTATCATTGTTTAGTATTTTCATACATTAGGCAAATGTGCTCGTTCTCTAACAACTCAGTTATAGAAATGAATTGCTATCCTTATTCATTTGTATGAAATATATATTTTTTTGTCTAGATATATAGCAATTTTTTCATTAAAAAAAATTTTAATATCACAAATTATATTTACACATTATTGAAACCTCTTTGTAGACGACATTGTTAGTGACAACACAATCTTGGTCATCTTCGTCTAGAGCTAACGTCTTCTCCATCAGGACGGGTTACTTGGGTGAAAATATATAATGGTAGAATATCACTCAATTAGTTATCTTTTTATAATTTCAGTAAATTCGTAATATCAGATTCATTTTCAGCCAATTATTCTTTTTTATTTTCAGTCAATTAGAATATGCAGTGATATTTTTACCTAACTTTCGTTCCATTTTTAATTGATAATGTAGATATTATTATTGAAATATTTCCGTTCCATTTTTAATTTACCTTTACTATTGTTTAAAATATGCATTTACTATTGATAATGTAGAATATTATTATTAGAATATTTTCCTCCAATTTTTAATTTCCATTCCATTTTTAATTAAAATGCAATGATCTAACCATTTTTTTAGTCAATTATAGATCATTTTTTATTTGCAGTCAATTATTAATATTCATTTCCTTTTATATTTTCAGTCAATTAGTAATATTAGATTCATTTTCAGTCAATTATTCTTTGTTATTTCCAATTAATTAGTCAATTAGAATATAGATGCAGTGATATTTTTACCTAATTTTTGTTCCATTTTAATTTGATGATGTAGACTATTATTAATGAAATATTTTCGTTCTATTTTTAGTTTATCTTTACTATTTTTTAAAATATGTCTTTACTATTTGATGATGTAAAATATTATTATTGAAATATTTCCTTTCCAATTTTAATTTTCCTTTACTTCTAACCAAAAAAAAAAAAAAAAAAAAAAAAAAAAAAAAAGAAGAGACTTTGGACTTCTCAATACTTGCCCATATTGATTTTTTTTTTTAGTAAACCTAGGGTTTCTACCGTCAGACACAGTGATTAATCCCCTCGCTAAATTGTAAACACCTCTTTTGGATGAGACAGTTGGCCTAGAGATTTAAGGCTGCTCCATTCTCAAATCCAAGGATCGAACCCTTGACCTTTGGGTAAGGATGGATGAGTCCCTTACACTCAACCACACCCTCCAGGTTACTTGCCTACACTAATGGGCAAGCAATTATGTTTTGTTAGGAATAAAATGTAATAGTTTTGATGAGCCAAATTTGTATTTTTAGAATCCCCTATTTTATTTTGAGTCTAGTTATCTATTAGTCTAAGTCCCAAGTCAAGCCATAAAGTCTACGAATTCTTAGCAAAATATACTTATTCAGAATGTTCCTATTTGGGAATTATTTATCTTGGAAAATACTAAAGGATCAAGTGGTGAAGTGGATAAGGAATAAGGTGACTAAAGTTAGAGGTCATGAGTTCAAGACTCAATCTCTACATTTTTGAGTAAGAGATAAAGAAGGGGACGACGAAGGAGCTGATAGGGGACGACCAAGAAGCAGACTCGGATTAATTTATGAATTAATCTAAAATGCTACTAAAGCCATTTGGGAATAAAGATTAAATCCAGAATTATTAATTAATGAGTTAATATGGTGTAATGGCAAAAGCATAAGAGATATATGTCATTGGGTTCGTGTTTGAATCTCATTAGAAGCTCATATTTTTTAAAGATGACACTTGTTGAGTGCATGCTACAATGTGGACACATGTAAGGCTAAGTTGACTACAAGTTTGGAAGCTTGTGGATATGATAAGGAAGATGCACGCGAATTCTTCTACACATCTTCTTTCTCATTTAAATCTCTTGCTACGTATCTCAAATCATTTCAGAAGAAGAAATGGACGAAGATATAATTTTTACTCAAGCAAGAATCAGCAGAAAATCTTTTGGAAGATTTCATCATTTTGAATCCGTCAAGATAAGGAAATTATTTTTTCGGAGAAGATTCAGCTGATGAGCCGACATATACGACTTTTGAAGATTTGTCAGGTGAGGATTTTCAAACTCACTGTAAGAAGCTCATCTCTTGCATTAATTCACCGCAATGCAAGTTGGCAATAATGTGTAGCTGATCAAGATGAACGATTAAGATCAACTGATGCTACAACGGTAATATAGCTTCTTCAGCTATATATACCAGAAGGCTTGAAGACATGAAAAAGAGACAAGAGAGTGCAATACACGAAATAGAGAAGGCAAGGCAATACAAAGAAGCAAATATAAGCAAAAATTTGAAATATCTAGTCTGAGCTTACACGAGAGATATTCTTCAAGTCATTAGAAGAGAAATTTGTTTTCTCTAAATCTTACCTCTACTGTGTGTAGAAAGAGGGTTGAGTGTAGCTTTGTGCAAAACACTACCCTATTGAGTGTAGCTTTGTGTGAGACACTCGTGGTTGCTGAGTGTAGCTGTGTGCGAGACGCTTGGTGGTGCTAAGTGTAGCTGGGTGCAAGACACTTAGTTGGTGTATGAGTATAGCTTTGTGCGAGATACTCGGGAGTATAGCTTTGTGCGAGA